ATATATATATATATATATATATATATCTTTTAACAAGTATCATCCACGTATATAACTAATAGATTTAGTGGATATATTATATATCATAAGCATAAATCCTTGGATATAGTTTATGGTAAGAAAGCTAATCATACAAGGCAAGTTTTATAGCAAAACTAAGGAATAAATTTACCTGAGATTTCTTATGCAAATTTGAAATAAGTAATGGCCTTGATGTGTCTATCAAGAACTTGGGCAATGCATCTAGAATCCCAAACCACGTAGTTATAACATAAACTCATTTATTAAAATCAGGATATATGTAGGTTATGAAGCTTTATATAATTATTCCAAAAAACACAAGCACTTTATATAGTTAGGAGATTTTAGGCAAAGCTCGGCTTATAGTTGTTTCATACTAATTCTACCAAATAAAAAGTAAAATGAATAAAAAATTTATGAGAGAAAAACTTGCAATCAACTTTTAGTGCATGCTAATAATGTGTTCAATTGCATATGTTGGAAATGGTGCTTTGGTCCCTTAGGTTCAATTATTTCTCAAATTTGTTGAATTATGTCCTCAAATCAAGCCATTGGAAATGATCAAAAAATAAGGCTTGGATCTAAGTTACTTATTTACAAGTAGGAATAGCGCACAAACTTCTTCAAAGAACTCTTGGATCTCTAGCATGATTAAAGAACAATGGCAGTGTAATGCCTATTAACCTCATAACAGTAAAAATTTTTCAAAATAAGATGATAATTTGTTTGGTTTAGACTCTTCTTATATGCTGATTGGACAAAGCAATGTGCACAAGTGCACATCATTTCTACGAGAATTAAATTTGAAATTTGCTAAGTTAATTACTAATTTTGCCTTTTTTATGTGATAATTCCAATCTTGTTAAATGAAAAACCATGAATTTTTTTTTCAGCACACAAATATTTTTTTTTTATATTCAAATAAGACTTTAAATTTATGAGTTGCCTAAATTAAATTTACAATTTTTATGTAAGAAAGTTCATCTAAAATATGTCCCCTAGTCTCCATCAATATCTAGGAAGCCTAATCACTTTCACTAACTAGGTAGATTTGTATCATAATAAGTTTAATGATATCATGGAGGATATTTTTTATAAGATTGCAAATCAACAAATGTTATATGCTTATATACTTGAACATTTAGTTGTTTCACCCTAATTTTTTTACTATGGTCCTTTCGATTCCCATTTATCACACTTACATATTAAGATTGATATGTCCAAAATAAAATTAAATGAAGAATATGGTAAAGCAAAATATGTAGCCATTTAAATTTTAATGTAACATTTTCTATCATTTATGGTGTTGCGGTGGAAAATTATTCTGTCAGGATTCTTAATATAGAGAATCATTCGAAGTCCAATGAAATCACGTCACGTGACGGTGACAGAAAAAAATATAATTTGTTTGGTAACACAAGAGAATATTCCTCCCGTGTTATTTATGTATTATTGTATGTTATTCAAGTGTTATTGATGTGTTATTGTGTTATTATAACACCAGAAATATTCCCAGAACACAATAACACCTGAATAACATACAATAACATATGAATAACACGGAATAACATAGGAGGAATATTTCTTTGTGTTATCGGGCCGATTTTTATTTTTTTGTCACCACCACGTGGTGTGATTTCATTGGACTCCGAATAATTTTCTACGTTAAGAGTCCTGACAGAATAATTTTCCAGTGTTGTGGTGGTGTTGCACTAACGTTGTGATGCTTTGTTTTTTGTCGCTTCAACACTGAATTACAACGTCGTGGTGCTATGCTCTTGATGTTTTACTCATTTGTGCTCTATATAACATTGCAACATTGTAGAGACAACACCATGTGTTATCTTAAAATTTCTACAATTTGTCTTGATCCTTCTTTTATAAAAAGTTTTGTCAAAAATAATTTAATTAGCTTTAAAAACATGCGAAATAATTTAATTTTTAATATTATTTTAGTTTTCTCATTTTACTCAACAAATATCTCAAAATTTAAACTATTACTTACATGTCCTTGATTTATTTGGTAGCAATTATCTTATAATTGAAATAGTATAAAATAATAAACATAAAGAAAATTTAATTATGCTTATAAGAATATTAATCATAAATAGTAATTAACTAATTATAGTCTATTTTTATAGTTCTACTTTTAATTTTTTAAATCATAGCTTCTTCATTGTATTATTATGTGTGTAATTAGATTAAATGATTATTTAGTTTGTTACTTGTTACAAAGTTTATCCTAATATATTTTAAGTAATTATAATTAAGATGTTATCTTCTAAATGTAATACACTTCACTTAAATTAGATAGAACTTTGATTATTGAAGTATCAATGAATATAAGATACCGATTTTTTATGTTAATGCTTAGTCGTAAGATTTTTTTAATCTTTTCATTATTTAATGTTTATAATTTTTTCCTAATTTTTATAGAGGAACACTTTATAGGCCAAGCATCATAAATAATTTTGAAAATCATACTATTCTCTTATATATTTAAATTTGTCAAAATTTAACACTAAATTTTTGTTTTAAGTGTTATAGTTTAGTTGATAATTATTTTCATTATGTTATAAAAATGATAATATATTTAAATTTTAAAATATATTAACTATAAGTGTTATGAAGAATACTAGATATTATAATTATTAGTTTCAATAAAAATTTTAGTTATTATTAATATATGGTGGATTTTTTTTTTCAATTTGATTGATGTATTTCCACCATAGTTCTTGAAAGATTCCTATTTAAATGTCCAAATACAATATTTAATGAATAACATAACTCCCCGAGAAGAAGAAACATTACCTTGAAAATGAACCTAATTATTCAGATGATAAAAATATTTAAGATTAGGGTCTAGGTGAACCAAAAATTTCCCTTATCTTATAAGGTAAATGTAAGATAAGGTTTATTTTATTATGAGGTCTGATATCTATATAAGGGTAAATCCTCACAGTTGATTACATCTCTGAAGCTGTGAACTCTAAATAATTCTATCGATTAAATTATTGACTTATATTACTTGCATTTTAAGGTTGGACTTTCAAAGTTAGGATTTTAAGGATAAATTAAGCTTAGAAGGATCCAAGTTTGGATTTTAAGGATAATTAAGCTTAGAAGGTTAATGACATATAATCCAATGACAATGTTCGGGAGGAGGGATTTAACTATCTTAGGGATAGGAAGGACTATTTACCCAAAATACTTAGATTTGATGATGATTTAAGAAATATTGAATTAAAGTCAATTTGAAGTCAAAGGGGTTTTGAATTAATATTATTGATTGAAAGGTTTGAGCTTGTAGGTCTGGATTGGGAAGATTTATTTTAATGTTGTCCTTGAGCTGTTTGAGTTGAAAAGGCTCCCTAAACTTATGGGTAGAGTCTGGTAGAAAAGTTGTTTAGATGTAGGTGAAAACTCTAGCTAGCCTGGTGGGATTTTTTTTTATTGAGGCCACCATAGACCTCAAAAGATTTTTATGAAATGATTTGATATGATATTCTAAGAATAAAAATATTACCTTATAAAGGAATTAATGATTCAGATAAGGAAAATCTTCATGATTTATGGATATGTGGAACCAGGATCTTTCCTATATATTACGAGTGTAAGATAAGGTTAATTT